TGGATGCTTCAAGATTCTGACGGGAAACAGATAACCCCCACCCCCACCACCCCCAAGGCTCCACTGATGACAGAGGAGCTTTCAAAGGTATAGCTATGGTCCCCCCAACGCCCCCTAGTCTGGAAGGCAGTTCGACCCATGGCAGCCACACGCGTCACGGAGGAGATCTTCTTCATAGAGTTTGCTTGCTGCGGAATCAGGCCAGCTGCTCTTTCCGCGGGTTTGAACCGCCAACCTCTAGAGCTGTGCCATGTAGGGACCTTACAGACAGGAGTCAGGGAAGCAGGCAGGGCTTATGAGGCACTAGGCAGCTCCCAAAGAGCAAGAGACGGGAACAGTGCCACTAGAGCACCGAAGCCACAACCCCCTGCTGGGACCTTAGCCAGGCATGAAGGTAGGTAGATGGGGAGGCTAGCACCCTGAGCCTTCTCACCCCCTTTTTGCCAGGATCTCCTTTAGCCAAATCCCACTAGAAGCAAGAAGATGGGGAAGCCGGTGGTGCATGCCAGCTAGATCCGTCTCCTGGGACACAGAGCAGCACTAAGAGCAGATCTGGTCCCCAGGTAAAGGCAATGATCCCCGCCCCCACCCTACTCCTGTGACTCCCTGCTCCCTATGCTGGGCGCTGGGCCTTATCTCGGCCGGCTGCTGCCCTGCTGGCAACAACGAATGACTGGCAGGGAGATCAGAGACTTATCACCAAAGACTTGTCACCAAAGACAAGGCAGGTGAGATCCAGGCAGAGCACGACTCAGGGGAGCAGGCAGCCCTGGAAGGGTTGGGGGGGTCACTCTCAGCTCAGAGAGGAGGACAGCGCTGGATTCAGGGTGCTGCGTGGGATGCCAGCGGCTCCCCAAACACGGATGGCACCACTGCCTTCCTTCCCTCTGTGGACTATGAGCCCCCCTACACACCACACACACACACATAGGGGGCAGGGATTTTGCCTTGTTCTCCCTCATCGCCTAGCACACCCTGAGACACACAATCAGAACTTATCGAAGAAGTGAGTGGATAACAAGTCAACGAGTGAGCTTGCCCTTCAAGCACAAGGACACCCACCCTCAGGCCCACCCCCGGCTGGAGCACTATTGAAGGAAAGACAGACAGCATTTGCTAGAAAAGTTTTTATTTCGATCATCCATCCACCACCTCAGACTTTCCATGCAGCTGGCCACCCGAGCCTACAATCGGTCTCCAAACTGTCCAGAAGGCTGCGCTCAAATGCACTTCACTTGGCTCCTCTTGACATGGCGGGGCACGGGGATCAGGGAACCGCAAGTTACGAGCACTTTTCCCGGAGAAATCTTGATCCGTGGCAAACGGTCTGTGCTACTCCCGGCTGGAGCCCTTGGCAAGAGATGGGAGGAGAGACTGACAGTGCCAAGGAGGCAGCTGAAGGATGGTCACCCTGGGAGCCGCCGCTCCGGCTTGCTTGTTCCGATGGGCCATAAAGACGATGACGAGGGAGGCAGGGGAAAGGGGAGGAGGGCTGCCAGAACAACAAACCGAGCTCCCAAGCACAGTGGTGGTGCCAGGCCCACCTGCACACAGACTCTGGGGCCAGGCGTCTGGGCTCGTCATCCCTGCGCTCCCACTTGCTCATTTGGTGGTGGAGAAGAAGGGAGGCGTTAACAGTCAAGGAACTATTCCCCCCAGGGCGAGGGTCCTGGTCAGCCCCATGTGGTGTGGGTGTCTTTACATAAAATCAAGCCAAACGGGTGGATTCTCATCTCCCAAGGCCTTGCTCTGTACCAAGCCCAGCCTCAGAGGCCGCTCAGGTTGCCTGTGAGAAGCGAGCTCATGCAGATGAAAATCATAACGTGTTCAAGTTGGTTATTTGTCATCAAGCTCATGTGAGGGGCTTGACTTAGCAGGGAGTGGAGGGGGTTGCGAACAGGCTGTCAATCGACAACTTTTGATTATCTGCCTGGCTGTCAACATCACCAGCTCCTTGGCTTGTTCAAGTGTCTTGTTGACAACTTCCAGGCCTTCCATGGGCCCTCCCACACACACAGACAGCGCAGCTCGGCAAAGCTGGGAGGGAGGGGGGTGGGGTGGGAGGGGGAAGCGCCTTGAAAAGTAGAGGGGGCTCTTCTTTTCCTACCCCGAGGCGGGCACAGCCACAGGACAGCAAGCTGTGAGTGGGGGTGCTGGCACTTCTACCTCATCTGGCTTTGTTTGGCGGGGCCCGAGGACAAGACAGGGGTAGCACAGAGACAATGTGTCAGAAGCTCAGAAAGATGAGTCAGGGTTTATCACGAGGGCCTGGACATCACGAGGGAAGACATGAAAACAAAGGCGCATCCCAGTGTCAACATGTCCTGTCAATCACTGCTATCTCAGTGTGGGGGGGGGCGGCGGTAATCCTTCCCCCCTCCGGATCTCAATCTTGTCATCTTTAAATGGCCAGTTGACCTCATGCCAGGAGTACAGAGCGGGGAGAGATGTGTTTAGACGAATTGTTGGGCATATTGGCTGATCCACTAAACCAGCGGTTCTCGACCTGTGGGTTGCGATCCCTTTGGGGGGTTGAACGACCCTTTCACAGGGATCACCCAATTCATAACAGTAGCAAAATTACCGTGATGAAGTAGCAACGAAAATAATGTTATGGTTGGGGGGGGTCACCACCACATGAGGAACTGTATGAAAGGGGGGCGGCATGAGTTAGGTTGAGGACCACAGCACTAAATGGTAGTTAGCATTGCACGATCGGCACACCATCCCCTCCAGGAGCTAAAGAAGTGCTGACTCTACACATTTTCTTCCCAGAGCACACAGCAAGTACTTACTCGGTCACTTACTCCTTCATTCAATCCATGTTCACAGAGCTCGCACCACGGGCCATGCTGTGGCTCCCTTGTGTCTGTCTGACTCTCACCACTAGAGTTGCAAGGTTCACAGGGGCAGGAACGGAGTCAGCTGGGTCCAACTGATGCTGAATAAATACTTGCCCGGTGCGTGAATGGACTGGACCCAAAACCTATCTGCAAGACTGAGATGGGCCAGGCAAGGAGGTAGGGCCGAGACCTGGGGTCAGTCTCGCCTCAGGCCTTCCCTCGGCTCCAAGATATTGGAGGATGTCTCCTGATCTGAGCCAGGGACTCTGTCTTCAATGGGAAAGATACCAACTTTTCAACTCGGGCTTCTCTGGAACCCGAGGAGAAGGGTCTGAGTCCCCAGATTTGAACCAAGGCAACAATTACAGAGAGAACCAATGGAGCGAGGAGTTAGTGTCCCCACCTCAGTGAGTGTAACAGAGGGAGATGAGGCCAGTTGGGTTCACATAATAAACCCAGAAGAAGACATATCCGAAGATCCTGGCTCTCAGGCGTGTGGGCCACTTCCATCCATAAGACACACCAATCTTGCCCAAAGGCCTCACTCTCCATGGCTCTGGCTTCTAGAAACTCAAGAATAAAGCTGGGGGGCGGGGGGAGCAGTTGAGCTGGAGCAGGAAGCCATGGACGGAGACAAAGGCCAGGCACTGTCTGCCCTGGCTGCCCCCCAAGCCAAACTTGCATCGCGCACAGGCAACATGGGGGCAGCTCCCAAGCAGCAGCTCAAGAAGATAAATTGACCCCAGAAGGTATGGGGCTGGGTCCCTTCTCCCCTGACAGCTCTCCCTGTGTGTTTTTTCTGGCACAAGAAACATTCTGTCTTCTTGTATAAATAAGGGAAATTTATGTCCATGTTCCTCCTCCTCCTCCCTGGTGGGCCACAAGGAAGGGGCTTGTGGGGGAAGAGGGGCCTCAGATTCCAGATACAAATGTGGAAAGACTTGAGGGAGTCAGGGGGATTCCTTTGCCCACTTTGGCTCTGGCCCCAGCTGTCCTCTCCCGCTGCCTTTTTGACCCTCTGGATGGTGAGAAAGGTGGAGAAAAGGTGCAGGCCACTCTTTCCCCAGGCCCGGGGGAAGCTGCTCTCCCAGGCTGAGAGCCAACATAGACAGAAAGGGCAAAGGGGACATTGGACAAATGTGGCTTTGCTGTCACGGAGCATTCATGAGAGAGACATGCGTCCCTCTGCTTGGATAGGGCTGGTGATTTCTGTACTTCTTGGCTTGCAGAGGCCACCGAATATGGTGGCGAGGGGATGGCTTGGATCCATGAAATGGACAAAATAATGAATCATGTGACCTTAAGCCATTCACGGCCACTCTGTAAGCCTAAGGGAATGAACCTTACTAAGGGTTTTCAAACTGGTGTGAGCTGGGGGGGTCCTTTCTTTAAGACCCAACATGTAACATAGGTCTCCTGATGAGCTGCTTGAGTTAAAGACAGAGGGGGGATGGGAGCCCCAAGTGTCTAGGCCTCTGGCGACTGAAAGGACTTCGCCAAGTAAAGTTCAAGATGGTCTCCAAGGTCCCTCCCCGCCCTGTCCTCAGGAAGAGATCTGACCCCGGCTGAAGACTGGAATCTTCGGCACATACCATGGGTTCACACCCCAGCTCTCTCACTTCCTGTGTGCCTTATGACACCTTGCCCTTTTCTTTTTCTGCGCTCCGATTCCTCATTTGTAAACTGAAATAATGATACTGACCTCAGAAGACCGTCACAAGGGTCCTATGAAATAATGTGCCTGCAATCCTGAGCATCTTGTCAGACAATAAATGTTCTGTTGGGGTCCCTGGGTTGTGCCAATGGTTAACACACTTGATTACTAATCAAAAGATTGGAGAGACCCACTCAGAGTGCCTGGGAAGAGAGGCCTGGCAATCTACTTCTGAAAAACCAGCCATCGAAGACCCTCTGGAGCACAGCTCTGCTCCGACAGGCATGGGGGTGCCTTGAGTTGGACCGGATTCTTTAACAACTGGTGGAGGATCTGATGTAATCATGTTGGTGAACGATATGATGTAATCATGTTGGCGAATAATGTGATGTCATCATGTTGGTGAGTTTACATTGCTTAATCCGATGTGAGAAGGTATAGTAGTCAGGATGATAGAAAACAACTATCACCAAAAAAAAAAGGCCCCTGAACACCACAGCACGTCAGAAACAGACGTTTATTTCTCACAGTCGGCTGGAAGGGAGGGGTCTAGGATGGCAGGCAGCTCAACTTCACCTTCTCCAGCAGGCACTTGGGTTCCTTTCATATTGTCACTTTGCCCTCTCAGAGATGAGGTCAAGCTCGGGGTCAGATGCATCTGGTTCCAAGTTCATGAAAGAGAACAGAAAGGCGACCTTAACAATGTCTTACTGCTTTGATCACATCACCCACCTCAGATTCCTCTCTGGTCCTGCCTGGCGGGCAGCAGAGACATCTGGGCAATGGAGCCTCCAGCTGGGTAGCTCCATGCTCAGAGATAACACCACTTTTGGGCAACAAGGGGAAATGGCTTTCTCTAGGAAGGGGAAGTCACCAACCAGAAAATAATGTGATTCCTGGTCCAGTGGGTGCCATTCATCCCAAATCAGCCGTCCCAAGAAAGTGACTTGGGAGCCTCCCTCTAGGGAGACTGCCTTTCTCGCCATCTCCCTCATGTGGACATGAAGAAAGTTTATGACGCCCTGGCCATTTGCTCTCTCAGTTTCACTCCGTCTAGCCCTTGTTCCCAGGGACGAGAGGTGGCTCCAGCTGTGGGGGTAGCAATGACCTGACATGGGAGAGAAAGACTAGACCAGGGCAGGGAGCTCAAGCTGAGCGTGACTTTTGTTGCCAGACAAACCCAGCTACCTACCAATCAAGCGACCTTAGGTGGGGATTGGATTCTTTGAGCCTTAAATGACTCTTGTGGAAAGGAAACTAAGGAAGCCATTTTGCAAGGTTGTCATAAGCATTAAATAAGATAACGTATGTGTCTAGCATACGGTCGTCCCTCAATAAATGACAACTAACTTTACTTGGTGGAAGCAACACAAAGCTAAGCCAAATCTGAGACATGCCCCCCTTGCTCCCATCGGGCCTTCCTTCCTCTCCTTCCTTAAGAAACACCCAGTGCTCTCCCTTGCCTCCACTTTCCATCCTCAGTCCTTTCCCATCTGAATGCTCACCTGCATTCTCTTCCAGGAAGTCTTCCTACACTGAAAACGTCCCACTTGGCTTCTTCCTACCCTTAGACCTCCCCTTCAAGCTACCCTATGGTCTGGGCCCAACCTTGGCCAGTTCTCCTTGCACATATCCCAACTTCCCTTTCAGAAAGTTCCAGCCCCCTTCTGCAGGAAGTGTGGAACCAATAGGAAGAGAGTTCAGATCTGCCATCAGGCATATTAGAATTCAGACTCCAACTCGACCACTTTATAACTTTGGCCAGTCACTTTGCCTCTTGGGACTTCTGCTTTCCCTCACCTCTAAAGTGAGTTCAGGTATATGCAGACTGGCAACCAATCATAGGATGTTTAGTAAACCTCATTCACCTTTGCTCTGCCCAACCTCCCTATCTCCAGGAACGTGTGCCTCCCAGCCAGGTATCCATCCTCTCTCAACACCCGCCGGTGAGGACTAGCTCCCAACCAAAAGGACATATTAGACCAAGAAAATAATTCCCAGATCACTAGGGAAAAATAAGCAACTTATCATTTAAGTCTGTGAGCCCGGCAGGGGACCACTGACCCAAGAGGCAGACCAGAAACCTAAGAAGAACTCAAGTGTCCCAGCTCCCAGGACCAGGGGGTCTCGCTTCCCCTGCCCTCATCCCCAGCAGCTGTGGTTGTTAAACCAGATTCAACAGGGATGGAGATGAGGGAGCTGCACTGAGCTCTCACAAGAGTGGCACACTATGCCCCTATCCAGCTTTCTTCATCAGAAGAGCAACAACCTCAATTATGAGTCATGCTGGTATTGTGCTTACTCTGGGACCAACATCGTTCTAGTTGCTTATTTTGGGATGAACATTATTCTAGGGATTTCACACACGGACTCATTTAATCCTTACAACAACCTAGAAGGTAGGGATGATTATCTCCATTTACAGAGAAGGAAACCGAAGCACAGAGAGGTTAAGGAATTTGGCTAGATTCGTGCAACTGGTATAAGCCAGAGCTGAGATTCAAAGCCAGGCAGGCTACCTCCAGAATCCCTGGTCATATCCTCTCTGCTGTAAGGACAAACATTCGCTGGTAGCTTTTATGTGCCATGTCCTGTGTAATGCATATTATATGCATTGCATTTAATCCTCAAACTATACCCTGAGAAGCATACTATTCTTATTATTATCATTCCTGGTTTTGTAGGTCAAGGAACTAAGAGAGAAAAAATAAGGAACTGACCTAAAGTCCAACAGCTAAATCGCTTCGGTGCCCGTAACTGCTTCACCTCACTGCCCCTCCCCACCCTGACTGCCCAGCTCCCTCCCTCTCTCTGGGTGGGTTTTTGAGCCCCAAGTGCCTTCCTTCACAAATCTGCCTGACCCCACCTCCCATAATCCTGCTCTCCAGCTGCCCTTGTTCATATCATCTGTTCTAGCCCTGCTTTGCCCCAAACGCCTTTCCTTCCCACTAAATGGCCCCCCAAACCCTTAAGTCCCTCTCCCTCTGTTGGGTGCCACCTTCTCCCACAGCTCATGCTGCACCCTATGAATTTCACCAAAAACACCACCCCAGAGTGCTCCCTCCTGGGCCTGCTTCACCACCACCCCCACCCCCACCCCACCCCGCCCTCAGGGAGCCACCAAAGTGACTGAGCTGAAGAGCCAGAAATAAAATCTTCATTCTACTCCCCTGCCTCCTCTTGCCATTACTCATCTGTGAATCCAAGGCGAAGAAGGGAGTGAAAGTTCAGAGCGTTCATTTAATATTAACAAATTGAAATGAATTCTTTTAATGCCAATTAAGTTGGAGCAGCCCCTTATTAATAGTAATTTAGATTCATACTGGGGAGAAGCAGGGACGGGGGGCTGCGCCAAATGTGCCCAGAATGTCAATGTGACAACTGAGAGGGGAGGAGTGAGACTTGGGGCCCGGAGGAGGAGCTGGGATCCATCCCCCTCAGTAGACAAAGTCATCAGCCGGCCGCAGGTTTTTAGGAAAGAATGTGTTGCTCTTGCTCACATTGAGACTGCCAGTTTCTTTCTGGGACCATGATGACCCTTATCAACTGGAATGATTACACGCCATTTTCATGATGTCCTTCCTCTCAAGGCTATAAGGAAATTTCTCAGAGCTGAGATTTACTCCAAATTCCCCTATGCCAAACCTCACTAAAGAAAAGCAACCAAGTCTCCAGACTAACTCTCTCCTCTTCTTTGGTGTTCTTTTAAAGTCAGGGCTAGGGAGGCATTAAAATAGGGTCCCCCCATCCCTGAGACCTCCACCTTAAGCAAAAGGAAAGGAGAGATAAACACTGTATGACTCTTCTGGAAATCTCCCCTTAGGAGGTAAGGGGCCTAACAGGCGGACTTAGCTACACCCATAAGCTACACCCACTCCTTAGGAGAGGGAGGGAGGGAGGGAAGGAGGGAGAGAGTTTGCCTTTTTCTTAGCGCTTGGAGGTACGAGAATTAAAAATCCAATTCTGTATTTACCAGAGAGTTGTCCAGAATAGAGTCAAGTGGAAAGATCTAACCATGGACTGAAAAGTTTAAATATAAATTCTGCTGTCCTTGACTGGGCTGACCTGGGGGTTGGACCAGAAATGCTCAGAAGAGGAATGTAGGCTCTGCCTCCAAGAGCCCGTTTTCTTCTTCCCAGGCACCCCCTCCCCCTCAATACCTTAATTTTTCCGTGCCACGCTGAAAGGAGGTGGAAGACAAGTCAAATTTAAAGCTGCAAATTGGGGGGCTCTGAGGCGGAGTGCAAAGAGAGTTGTGGAAGGGGCAGGAAATACATTAAATGGTGACGTTTATGAAAGAAAAACCCTTACAGAGGTTTAGCATACAAAATATTAACTTTCCAGGTCGGTTTTAAAGGGAAGCAAAGTACATCAGAATGGCAACATAATAAGCAAAAATGAGGAAGATGCATGTACCCAGTACATGGTTTCTTCAAAAAGGAGGGATAGGAATGAATCGCGAGGACTGGTTCACATCCCCACTGACCCAAACAATGAATCATTTACAAAACAAAAGAGAAATTAACACAAAACGAAAGCCCCCTCCACACACACACACACCCAATGAGGGAGAAAAACAAATGAGTATACTTAGTTCCGTGATTATTTTAAACTATCGAAATCTTAGAGAAGGAAAGGAGAAAGGGTGAAATGGACAGCAGAAAGAAGTACAACTTACAAAAACAAGGGGGACAACTTATCCTCAAAGAAAAGTAAACTCGCCACCAACAGAACGCTGCTCCCCAGGACAGGGGAGTATGCGGAGGTTCAATTTTTTTTTTAAGAGAGAGAAAAGTACCGCCCTCTCCCAAGAAAAGTCTATTAATCGAAAACGAATCTTTCTCTAAATCTGAAAAGGATTACACAAAAGAATACGAAACGAGTGTTTCTCTCGCATCTAGGCAAAGTCGGATTTAAATCGTCTACTGGGACGTGGAAGGGGCACCTTGTGTACAGGTGCCAAACAGGACGGCAGGGGTAGGGGGGGAATGGAAGAGGGGTGAGTTTGGCTTACCTTCCTCGCCGTGGGGCGCCCGAGGGCCCGACGGGGGTGGAGGGACCCCTCGAGAGCTTGCCTGCTTGTTGGAGGAAAGGCGGAAAGGGGAATTCGGGTGCCAGAGGACGAATGATGAGGGCAGAAGGGCTGGGGGTGCCCCTCTCCCCACCCCAGTCGGCCAGCCTCCCTCCTTCCCTCCCTCCCTCCGGTACCCAGGCCCAGGGAGCTACTGAAAGTTACAAATTGCTTCCATTATTAGCTCATCCCGGGCGGCCTGGTCATTGGCCGGCCTGGGACCACGTGGTCCCGCGTACCAATCGATCGAATTTCTAGTTGCAATTCTCCGTCCCTTGGCTTCGGCGAGAAACTGGGGTGGGGTGGGGCGGGGGGAACAGTGGCGCGGGGACTGGGGAGGGGCTAAGATAGGAGGGAGTCTCTGCGCCCCTTCACCCTCCCTCTAAGCCCTGAGCGCTGCCCCAGAAGGGTGGAGGGAATGTTGTGGGCTGGGACGCACCCGGGAGGGCAAAACTATGGGGAGCTAGAGGCGTCCTGGGGGACTGGGGACGGTCTCCTAGTTCCCCAGGCCCGCAGGACCGGCCGCGATCGCCACACCCACCACAGCGCCCACAGTGCCCGGGGACACCCCTGGACTAGCAGCCTGCCCCTCCAGCCCGGGCGCGAGAATGTCCCTCTTGGGACCACTGCTCAGCCCTGCACTCCTGGGACAGGGGTTCCAACCCCGGCTTTCTGTAGATCGCACTGACTCCCGCGCCTGCGCCCTCAGGAGCGCCCCCCACCCCCGACCCCAGGGCCGAACTTGCGCCTCTCCGGGAATAGTTTGAGAAACGGATAAACTTTTCAGTGGATGAACACAAGAGGAGCCCGTCTGGAGCAGGTGAGCTGGACCCAGGAGGGGTGCGCTTCGCCTGGGAACCATCTGTCTCTCCTGGTCTCTATCGCCCCCTCCTCGTCGCGAGTGCCCCCGAAGACAGACAGACAGACACACACACACACACACCACACTCACACCACACACTCACGCTGAGGGCCTGAGGAGTTGGGCGTCTGTCTAGAGCCTCAGCCTTTTGCTCCCCCGAGTTTGGGGACTAATGTGCAGCTGTGGAGAGGGAGGCGTGAGAGAGGACCACTTCTGAGACTAGGGAGGAGGGGAGAAATTGGGGGCCCAGGAGGCCCGGAGAATTCGAGGGAGATAACTTCTTGCTCTAAACGCCGTTTGCGGGAAGTTCCCAGAAGTTTGGGAGGGAGGTGGGGAAGGCAGGATGGCGAGGGCGGGACCTGGGCTTTCTATTCTAAGGCGCATTTCCTTGCTTCCCCTTTGGGACTGATTCCGGATGTAGAGAAGCCCATCGGGATCCCAAATCGAGTCCCCCTAGTCATTCCTTAGAGGCGCTTGGAGATCCCCCAGGGGCTCCGCGGGACTGGAGTGAAGTACCTACCCACTGCAAGCAGGGGAGTCTCAGACTCTGGGCTGGGGGCGGAGGGCGGCCCCCAGCTGTTGCCAGGGACCGCCTGTGCCCTAACTGCCTGAGACCTCCTGCTGCTTTTAAATTAGCTGTGGCCCAGAGGGTCCGGCTCTCAAATCTCTTCTTTATTCTAGCTTTTAAAATCCAATTGCACTCACAGGACCATTTCCCTAAACTGAAGTCAAGTGAATACCCCTTCCCCACACACACACATACACACACACCCCAACACAAACTGCAGCACACCGTTCCCACAGTCTCCACCCTCCAAAGGCGCAAGGGAAAAGTGCACGCCGGGTGCCCCCCACCCCCAGAGGAGCGTGTGGAGGAAAGATGGGGGACCTCTCCAAGCGGAGTCCAGGGCAGAGGGTGGGCTCAGAGAGCGCAGCTCCACGGGGGTTGGGGGTGGGGGGCGAGGACAGCGTGGGCGTCGTGGAGGGGCTGGTGGGCCACAGGGGCAGGCTGGGGGAACAGGCCAGGGCGAGGCCGCTGCAGGTGCAAAGCCCGGGACTCCCCAGCCCAGCCCCTCAGCGACCCTGGCTGGCAGGGAGCCCCGCCCGAGCGAGGGCCGGGGGCGGAGATCTGCGGTGCTGACCCCTCTGGGGAAAGCAAGGCCAGGAACCAGGCGGGTATCAGACTGGGCTTGCATCCTGTGGAGAGAGGGTCAGGAGAGGACGGGGTTCCTCCCTGCAGCGCCTGATGTCTTCCCTCCCTCCCCACGCCCAAACCTCCACAGGCCACAGCGGCCTGCGCCGCCAGGAGCCGCCACGCGGCCCAAGCCTTTGTGTTGTCTGCTCCGGAGCAGCTTCGGGGCTTTTGCTGCCAGCGGCCAGGGCCAGAGCTCGGGCTGGTCTCAGAAGCAGACCGGCCTAGCTGGGGGCTTTCCTGGAGCCACCTGGGCTGGTGTCCTGGAAACCAGGGTCTTGTCCTGGTTAGATGTGAAGACAACCAATATTCAAAACATACCTCTTCCCCTTTTCCCATCACTCACCTTGTTCTTCTCCAGCCTAGAGGAGTGGGGTGTTAGGCCTCATCCTTCCTTATTCCCCAAACCACAAGTCCCTTAGGGCTGTCTTTTCTGGGTTCCCAGCCGGGCTTTGTGACCGGCCCTCCCACCCCAGCACCCCTCTTTGCCACAGTTCTTTGGTGTTCCCATCCCCTTCTCCAAATTGATGGAGGGGCAATGGGTGACCCCAGGCTACCCTAAGCCTGTGGCAGGGAGCTGTGGACCCAGCCACCAAGTCTCAGCAGGCAGAGAGCCTCCCCAACCGTGAGCTGCTGGGATTGCCCCCAAGTTTAGGGAATTGAGGATGGATGGCATGAGAGATGGTTGGCTCTACACTGACCAGAAACCGGATCTGCTGGCAGGGCCACTTGATGCCATCTGCCTATTGCTGAGAGAGGATTTTGGAACAAAGGAAGATGGAAAGGTCGGGAAAACAGCCCAACAGCTGGAGATGTTCAGAGCAACAAAGGGGACGACTGGGGAGAGGAGGGAAGGATGCTGGGAAAGGCCCAGAGCTGGCGGCAGAAAGGGACTCCCTCCCAGAGGGCCGGGCAGAGCAAGGACAGGGAGAGGACGTTGCTAAAGGCTAGCACCGGGAAGCCAGGTAAGGTTGGTCTGTTTCTTAATGAGAGAATATGAGCAGAAAGGCAGGGAAAAGAAAGGAAGCCGAGAATGTGAAAGAGGTGAAGGCACGGAGAAGGGGGAGCAAGGGACATAAAGATAAAAAAAATGATTGGACTGTTGGATTGTGTGAGGTGTCGACTGTGTCCTGATGAAACTGTTTAAAAGAAAGAAAGAACAAAGGTGAGAGAAAATGGAAGTGATCGAGAGAGAGGAAGGTAGGAAAGAAGGCAGGAGAAATATAAAGAATCAAAAGGTGAAGGTGGGGTGGAAAGAAAGCCAAAAAAGAAGGAAAATACTGAAAAGGAAAGGCAGCAGGAAGGTAGACAGAGGGCCCCTGCTCTAGAGAACTGGGGAGTCTTGAAAGGTGGGGGTAGAGTGAACGGGGAGGCCTGGTGGGGTCACCACTGAGGTCCCTCCCTGCCTCAACCCTGGTGGGGTGGCACTGCCGCGCTGACTCAGCCACCACTGGGCTGGCCGGGCAGGTCATAGAAGGTGCAGGCGGAGGCAGAGGCCTGCTTTCTGCAGTCCAGCTTTTTCATGAAGCAACTGCCCCCACCCCCGTGGGGAGGCTGGTGTTTTCCCACCCGAAGGTCTAAACCTGGTTTCAAATCCAGGGCAGGGGAGGGGGGAGGGGGTTCCCATGAGGAACAGAAGAGGGAGGGGCTGGCCACAGAGGTCTCCCATGCCCCCACCGGGGCCTGCTCCCTGAATGCAGCCCCAGAGGCCATCTGGGAACCACCCTCCTTTGCCCTTGGGTCTGTAACCTTGGGCCTCAGTTTGATCATCTGCCAGAGGGGCCCTTTGCCCTGGAGGCTTTTCTTGTAGCTTGGGCTGGATGAGCAGGTGAGGGATGGGTGAAGATAAGATCTGGCCTGCTTTGGGGAAGGCAGCTTCTCCCCCTCCCCCCTCCTCCCGCCCCCGCCCCCCCAAAATTGGTGAGAAGACAATTCCTCCTCTGCCATCCTTATCTCCATTCCTGCCAAAGAAAGCAGAAAACTACTTCCTGCCCAAGGGCGTGGCCGTGCAGGAAGGGCTTGAAGTCTCTAAAGCGCCCTGATGTGTGCAGTCAAACCCTGGAGGAGCCTTAGGAGGAAGCTCACCCTTCAAAGAGAATGAGGGCATTCCTTACCAGGGCAAGTAAGTGGAGCATAAGTGTGCAGAATATGTCTGTCTCCCGAACACACACACACACACACACACACACACACACACACACACACAGAGGCACTGGCAAAGTGGCGCTGGCTTTAGCCTGCTGGGCCTGCCTTTCAGTGTACTGGTGCACTGCTTGTCACTGCCCCTTCAAAGCCAACTAGATGACTCCTTTGCCTCTTAAGGTGGATATTTGAAGCAGGTCACTGGGGTTGACCGGATTTTCCAAGGCTGTGCAGGGCCGGAGGACCCCCAACCACCGACCACCGGTGGACAAGGAACAACCTTCCCAATTCCACCCAGCAAGGTCTCCAGCCAGCATGGAACTCGAAGCCTCTCCTCCCTTTTCTCTAGCTTTCCTTTATCTTTCTGCCCCCGTCTGCCTTTCTCCCTCCCTCCCTTTTTTCAATGGTTTTTCTTTCTCTCACTCTCTTCATCTGGTCCAAGCTGGAAGTCTCTTACACCGTTGTATCCCGGGCTCTGCTAGCATGCACCCTGTCAGTCCTGAATCATAGAACCCTTGGGTGCAGATATTGGGATTGGAAGATGAAGGGCAAAACGAGGTGGTTTTGCTAATCGGGTGCCAGATGAATCCATTTGTTTTCAGGAATAGTCATGTTATTGCCTTCCTATTGCCTTGGCTCACCCTAAAAAATCCTCTCTCACCCACTCCGCTCCCACAGTCAGCTGGCTTTCCCCGTCTGAGTGGAGGACATTGGAGCAGGGAGGTGAGACGCATGATGCCACACTAGAAACTCAAATTCATAAATCAGCAAAGCTCATTTCCCTACTTCCCATACCTGGAGAGGGTCTCTTTCCCTGGAATGGAGAGGCAGATCAATTCTGACACTTGGCCACCTCTCCCCAAACACCCCTGATTAGCAGGCCCTGGGACAGGATATTCATATCTGC